AAACTAGGAAGAAGTTGAAACCCTGAATAGACCAATAACAAGGGCTAAAGTTGAGGTAGCAATTAATAGCCTACCAACCAAAAAAAGTCCAGGACCAGACGGGTTCACAGCCGAATGCTTAACTTTTAAAAATTTTCTCAGTCTAGACTAAAAAAATTTATCTTGCATTGTGTATCTTTTTGAAATTTACTTCAGTTTTAAGCGTTGTGTTACGGTTTTATTTTTCTGCATTGTATTTGTTTTTTAGAGTAAAGGTTTTATCTACTGAATTGTTTTGATTCTCACTTTCTATACCTTCTTACAATAGCTTTGTATGCAGTTAGTCTGAATTTTCCTCTTCCCAGGCAGGGTTCCTAAAGAGTTCCCATCATTACCAGGAAGTACTCTTTCCTTAACAGATGAGGTTTTGGTGATGATAGTAGGAAAGAGGAAGGTTGCCATATATTATGTTTCTCTTTCATTTTTCTAGGATTCTTTTATTTCCTATTTATATCCCTTGTTCCAATTACTAGCTTACCTCCAATGTCACCTGTTCTGTATTTCCTCTCCCCCCAAAACTGAAGATTCTCTAAAATTCCCAATTAAAGTCCCACTTAATTTTAATCTGTTTCCCCATAGTTGGTGTGGCAAACTGTCAAGTTCTTTTTTTTTTTTTTAATTAATACTTTAAGTTCTGGGGTACATGTGCAGATCTTGCAGGATTGTTACATAGGTATACACATGCCATGGTGGTTTGCTGCCTCCATTCCTCTTAATGTTATCCCTCCCCAATGTCCTCACCCCCTGCGAACCCTCCCCTAATCCCCCACCCCACCAAAGACCCCAGTGTATGATGTTCCCTCCCTGTGTCCATGTGTTCTCATTGTTCAACACCCACTTATCAGCAAACTGACACAAGAACAGAAAACCAAACACCACATTCTCACTCATAAGCGCGTGTTGAACAATGCAAACTGTCAAGTTCTAGGCCTGTGTTCAGTATTTTAGCACTTAATGGCGGGTATTCTCATTTTGGCCCAATTTTCTTCTGCGCCTTGTTTATGACCTTTTCCCATGTCTCTTCTCCATGAGATGTTTTAAACATCTCAATCCCTGCTCTTCAGACCCATAGGTTTATGGTGATGACAGGGTGTCATCAGAAACTCTGTTGGAATTTGGTGTATATTTCTCTAGTTAAAAGATAATTTGAAATTTATACTATTTTTTGTATCTCAGGAATGTTGAAATCTGGCATGATGTAAGGCTTTTTTTTTTTTTTTTGGTCTTAATTTTGGAAGAGGTTGTCTGGAGTGATTTAAATTTAGTCTACTGCCATTTTCCTAGAGCCAATCTAAAACCAAATTACATACTTTTAAAATTATTACATATTTATCAAAGAACAGCAACAAATTATAGAAGGTTAAAAACTGTAATTAAATTATTCACAACCAACTACTAAAACATAATCATTATTTATTGTTGTTATTATTATTATTATTCAGATGGAGTTTCACTCTTGTTGCCCAGGCTAGAGTACAATGGCACCATCTTGGCTCATAGCAACTTCTACCTCCTGGGTTCAAGTGATTCTCCTGCTTCAGCATCCTGAATAGCTGGGATGCTCTTGGTCAGGCTGTTCTCGAACACAGGTGATCCACCTGCCTCAGCCTCCCAAAGTTCTGGGATTACAGGTGTGAGCCACCACACCAGGCCCATAATCATTATTTAATACTATGAAGGTGTCATTTTGTTTCCTTTATACAGGCATAATCATGTCTATGTTATGTATGTTTGTATGATACATGCATGTGATTATATGTGTGGAGAAAGAGAAACAGAGACAGAGAAAAAGAGAGAGGCAGAGACAGATACAAACAGATTTCTCAGAATCTTTGCCTGCAGAAGTTGAGCGATGGTTCAAAACTGAATTATTCTCTGTATGAAGAGGAATAAGAAGACATTAGAAGCTATGAGCTACAACTGGAAAAATGGCAAGAGTTAAAAAGGAAAAATAGAAATAGACATTTAAAGAGGTATTTTTATGAAATTCCATGTATAATACACAATAAACTTAATTTTCTCACTTTCCAATGAAATCTTCCCTGTACATAATCTTTGGAAAGCAGACTTATTTCAAAAGAATACAAAGTAGAACTGAATTCTACTGTAAAGAGTAAGTTTGGTATAAAACAAAACAAAGAAGAAATTTGCATAGGAGAATATCCATATATCCATATATATATAATAGATTATACAATTTAGACTACTTTTATATTCTTTTAAAAACTTGACTTTATTTTCTATAAGCTCTTTTTTCATATAGCAGTAACCATTTCTTTAATCATCCCAAATATTCTATTATTTTAAATAATTCTACAGCTCTCCTGTTGGGGTTCAGAAAAAAAAAATACCCCAAAATGAAGGCCTTAGCAGCAGCCTGAGAAGCAAAAGATATTCTCTCATTTTTTCCTGTTCTCCTATGGCTCATTCCCATTGTCCCCTGGGGCTAGTCATAAATACTAAAATCTTTCTTCTCCAAGGGGGTGGGTCACAGAAGCCAGAAGCCCTTCTCCCCAAAGCTAGCCATAAAACATAAAAATATTATTCTAAAACCATTTCCATCTCTCTGTGTAACAACTAGTCATACAATAATTTTCTGACCTATCTTGTTTGACTGTAGGTCATGAGACCCCTATTCCACCTGGGTCTTGCCCTATATCCAGAAGGTAGAAATACATGTTCAGAGAAGCCAAGAAATATCTAGAGAGAGGCCTTGCTGGGTACCCCACTCAGTCTATTAACATAAGATTATACCTTATTTGTCTCATCATATTTCTTTTTTTTTTATCCTGAGACGGAGTCTTGCTCTGTCACCCAGGCTGGAGTGCAGTGGTATGATCTCAGCTCACTGCAACCTCCACCTCCTGGGTTCAAGCACTTCTGCTGCCTTAGCCTCCTGAGTAGCTGGGATTACAGGCAACTGCCACCACACCCAGATGATTTTTGTATTTTTAGTAGAGACTGGGTTTCATCATGTTGGCCAGGCTGATCTCAAACTCCTGACCTCTTGATCTACCTATCTCAGCCTCTCAAAGTGCTGGGATTACAGGCTTGAGCCACTGCACCCAGCCTGCCCCATCATATTTCCACATGACTGTCCATACTTTGTTGAACTTAAGCATAAAAATAAACAATTTCTCCTGTATCTTTGGGTCTTCATTCTGAAACCTAACATGTATACATAATAAGTAAATTTATATGTTTTTTCACCTATTAATCTGCCTTTTGTGAGTTGATTTTTCAGCAGACTTTCAAAGACCAAAGGTTTCCTTTGGCCCCTCTAATCCTTATTCAAAAAAGGTTATCACCATGTATTATTTCCTGTGGATATGTTCTCTGAAGTACAGATATGGATACAGATATGAGAAGTTTACAAAGATTTTTAGTTTATACATATTCCCACATTACCATAAGGCTTATGCCCTTTAGATTATCACCACCATACTCTGTACTGAGCCTATTTTAAAAGGTTTGGTCAATTTGATAGATTTAAAAGATATCTTATTTTAAGTATTTTAAATACTTTTCAAATATTTATTGGTCATAACTCTTATAAGGAGAAAATTTCTGGTTAATATGTTGTTCATATTCTTGTCCATTCTTCCATTACAATATTAAGTTTTTATTATGTATACAAGTATTCTTTATATATAAATGGAATCACATTTTTGTTTACCGAGTTATCCATTTAGATTTCAATATTGCTTAGGACTTTCTATTAATGTGCATTTTTTGAAGTTCAAATTAACAATCCTTTTTTGTAAGTTATTTTGTATGTAATTTTCATGAACTCTTTCTCAATTTTAATATCATGGAAAGATTTGTATACGTTTCTCCATTAATTATGATTTTAAAAATAACAGTTACTTCATTACTCCGTCTGAAAGTTATTTTGGGGTATAAATGAATGTACCACTGGTACATGGTACCATATAAATGAATACTATATGGTTATATAAATGAATGATCTCCTAAGTACATTAGGTCTGTTTCAGTGTATCCTTCTGTTCTGTGGCTTTTATAACTACACCATGACTAAATTATTTTAGTTGTTATAGTTTTTATACTTTATTAACTAGTAGCACAGCAACTATATATTTCATTGCTTTTTGACTAGCTCTATAAAATGATATTTTTAAATAGTGCAAACATTTTTATTACTTCTGGAATATGCCCACATGTACATTTTTCAATGGCTATCATTAAGTGATTGTAATTTTAAATATATCTAGTTCTGATCTCAGAAGCAAAAGATACCACTATCCTGAGTATACTATAAATCACTATAACTAAAATTATGTAGCTATGAAAGTCAGCCATTCAGATAGTTCCAATACCAGCTAATAACCTGGTTTACCAAATTCTCTGTAGAAGTCACAAGCTAATATGATACACAGAGCAAATGGCTGGGGAAGGGGAAGGTGAGAGAGTGTTAAGTGATGTCTAAAACAATTCCACAGAAGTTTATGAGAAACTTTGCCATATTTATTTATTGATCGAAACCTCTAGAATTGTACACCTGCAACTTTCTTTTTTTGAGACAGAGTCTCACTGCGTCACCAGGCTGGAGTGCAGTGGCATGATCTGGGCTCACTGCAACCTCCGCCTCTCAGGTTCAAGCGATTCTCCTGCCTCAGCCTCCCAAGTAGCTGAGATTATAGACGTGAGCCAATATGCCCAGCTAATTTTTGTATTTTTAGTGGAGATGGGGTTTCACCATGTTGGCCAGGATGGTCGTGATCATTTGACCTCATGATCCGCCCACCCCAGCCTCCCAAAGTGCTGGGATTATAGGTGTGAGCTACTGCGCCCGGCCACACCTGCAACTTTCTAATGCCGTATTTGCTTTTCCCCTATCACTTGATTTTTGACCCTTGACACTCAGATAAACTTGGAAGGTTCACTAATAACTAATATTTTTAGCCATTATGAGTATTACACATTATTTTCCATATAATTACCTGGTGAAGTCTGTCATCTCCATCATGATCATACACATGTTCTTGGCCAGAACAATGATGTCGTTGCTTGTATCATCCCATATCTCAATCTCAGCGTCCAGCTTACTCTTTACTTTCTTGAAATCAGCAACTTGCTCAGCAATCTTTTCCTTTTCTGCCTCAGGCAGTTGAGTCATTTTAGCCTAAAACGTGATAATTAGAATTTAAATCATTCCACTACGACAAAAGCATTTTAGGAATAAGTAGACATTACAGGATATTCACAAAACTTAATCACTCAAAATCAGAGACACAATATTGTTAAAGTCTTCAATCAAAACTTTCCAGGCTTAATTTTTCACATAAAAATCTATTAAATTAGAATAATGTGCTCTAGAATTATATTGTTGCATTTGAGAATAAGACTGTAGAACTTGGTGTCCAACATACTTACGTCCATTTTATAAAATAAATGTGGGACTTTGCAAATTTCTAGTGCATTTCAAATTTTAAACAAGCTCAAATTTAGTGTAATACATCACCTTTGTTAGAAAAGTGCATATAAAAAGGGGAATATATAACATAATTTAACTCGAAATGAGACTATGTCTACCTACGTGTTTATGAGTAATTACAGGATGAATTAGTCATGCCTCAACTTTAACATAATAAAGAAAATAAACAATGATGCTTTTGGTTTGAAATTTTCTTTAAATGTCTCAGCATAATGCTTGACACATATTGAATGTTCCTTAAATAGTAGCTATTTCTTTTTCAATAATCAAAATATATTCACATGTCTAATACATTTTTTTTCATTTTATTTGCATTTTTTCTATGAAGAATCAAATTAAGCTACATGAGACTAAGTTTTTAACTGATACAAGTGCTATTTCTTAGCATTTGAAAGTATTTGTAGTTTCTTCTCTCAGGAAATATGTCCTATGTGAGGCTGTAAGAGAAGAGCAAATTTTACTACTGCTGGCATATGGTAAAGCATGTAAATGAAGACACAGCTCACTACTTCTGAAATGAAAAGTAATATGCAAGCACGTTAAGTAAATTGTAAGCCACCAACCCATTAAACTAGCTCAAAAATAGAAATGAGTTTTCTCTATCTTGACTACTAGTCATTATCATTCTCTCTATTCTCATAAAAAGTGTTAAAACATTCAAATAACAATAGCTAAGATAGGTTCAACTGGAGCTTCTCTTTACAATCTGTATCTCTTCTCTTTACATTCTGTATCCGTGATGCTAGATCTAATAAATATTGCTGAATATACACTGGTATTATGGCAAATTATTTACTGTTCTCTTAAAAGAGTTAAAGCTATTCAAGAGCTGAACTGGCTAAGTGTATTCCAAGTTCTGTTACTTGGAATGCCACCGATTTCCAATATGACCTTGAGGAAGTTACTTACCCTTCCTGTCTAAGTTTCCCTAGACACAACATGACAGTAATTGCAACTGCTATCTACCCGCCATGCAGGGAACAGAGTCGATTGTTGGATAAGATTGAGACTGACCCTATTGTGGACAGGGAGCTCATTGGTGCACTTCATCTCCTTAATAACATCTCAACTCAAATGGTGAATTACAACAACAGACATTTACGTCTGATAAGATAAGGGCCAAAAGGTGGGCAAGAGTTTGCAAAATTAAAAGATCTAGAGAATTCTCATCCTTTTTCACAGGGAGAACAATAGCAGCAACAAAACATTAAGTTACTAACACATTTACAGAAGGTTTTAAGTGCTTCAATGATTTATTATATGTCATCAATCAATTTCAACCACCCTGAAAATTCCAAAACAAGACTTAAGAGAATACTTGATGTTTAGAAAGTCTAGGTGAAAAATTCTTTATTGAATTATTTTGTGCAGATTAGACAAAGAAACTGAGGTACAAAGCTTAAGAAAAATTAGGTAAGCAGAATCTCTGATGTGTATCGCCAGGTGGCTATATGTCCAGGCTTCTGCTTAGATCTATAGAGCAGAATTCTGATATAAATAACTGTCAAAGGCCTTTTGAATCACTGCCATATGAGTAAGATTATATTGTGTATCTATTGATCTTAGAATATGTTACCAAACACAAGAAAAATAGCTAACACACATATGACAGGCACTCTTCTAGAAACCACGAACGTATTTAAACTTCAATCTTCATAGGAGCTCTATGAGGAATTATAATTATTCCAATTTTATAAGTGAGGAAATTGAGTCTTTCTGAAATGTTAAGTGAGTAATCAAGATTATAGTGTCAGTCAATGGTAGAATCAGGATGTAGCCAGAAAATATAGCTCTAGAGTTTTTGTTCTATTGCCAAGTCAACAAACATGAATAATATTGCCCTCAATATACCAATATATCCCCTTTCTCCATGATGGTATTTCTCTATCTCTTTGACCTCTGAGTGCAATTGTTCTCCAAAGAATAGTCACATTGTTGAGAATCTACGTTTCCTCATCTTTTTTTTTTTTTTTTTTTTTTTTTTTTTTTTTTTTGAGACAGATTTTTGCTCTTGTTGCCCAGGTTGGAGTGCAATGGTGCCATCTCAGCTTACTGCAACCTCCCACTCCCAAGTTTAAGTGATTCTCCTGCCTCAGCCAACTGAGTAGGTGGGATTACAGGTGCTTACCACCTGCCCAGCTAATTTTTGTGTTTTTAGTAGAGACGAGGTTTCAACATGTTGGCCAGGCTGGTCTCGAACTCCTGATCTTGTGATCTGCTCTCTTGGCATTGCTTTCCCCTTACATCCAACAGCCCCTTTTCAGAGTCTTCCACCTGCCCTCATCTGTCAAATGTACACCTCCCCAAGAATCTGTGCCGACCCTTTTAAATTTCTTCATTATCTTCTCCCTTAGCACACTCATCTACTTTCTTTTTTTTTTTTTCTTTTTTACATTAGGTAATAAAATTGTAAGTATGTACTATGCATCACATTATGTTCTGAAGTATATATACACTGTGGAATATACAATGGAATATTATTCACCCATAAAAAAGAATGAAATCCTATCATTTGTGACAACATGGAATCTGGGGGAAATTATGTTAAGTGAACTAACCAGACACTGAATGATGATTACTACATGACCTCATTCATATGCAGAATCTAAAAACAATATCACAAAAGTAGAGAATAGAGTAGTGGTTACCAGGGGCTGGGGTGGTGGGAAAGAGGGGTTGAGAAGATGTTGGTCAGAGGATAAAAAATTTCATTTAGACAGGAAGAATAAGTTCAAGAGATCTATTGTATAACATGGTGACTAGAGCGAATAATAAATTGCATTCTTGAAAAATGCTAAGTGACTGTAAAGTGTTCTCATTTTAAAAATGATAACTCTGTAAGGTAATGCATGTGTTAATTAGCCAGTTATAATCCTTCTACAGTGTATCTATACATCAGCTCCTTTATGACTTTAACTATCACTGCTATGAAGATTACTTCCAAACAGCCTCTTCAGTCCTGACTGTTCACTTTTCCAATACTGTGATCAGTACATCCACTGCTGTGTTGGGAATACGTGATTATAGAAGGATGAAAAACATACTCAGCCAAACCATTTATTCTCTTGATTTTCAAGTTTCTCAGTGATACTTCCTGTTTTCCAGTCTTGAAATTCTACATCTAAGAAAATCATTCTCTTTTCTTTACCCTATTCTGTTAGTTGTCCATTTTATCCTTTATCAAATCCATTTCCTTCTATGTATTACTATAACCTCTCCTGCTATCTACTGGTCCTAATGTTCTCTTTTGTTTTCAGTCTTTTTGTTTTGCTACTGCTTGATTCAATATTTCTGAATATGACGGAACTGTGCAGTCCTTCAGTTAATATCCTTATCTTTACATCTCCTTATCAAATAAAGAGTATCAGTTCTTCAAACACGACCATTATATTTGTTTGATTCAAATAGAAAATTCATATAAAATGCCTAAGTCATAAATGTACAGTTGGAACAATTTTCACAAACAGAGCAAATCCATGTATCTACACCCAAATCAAGAAACAAAAAGATTACAAGTACCCAGAAGACTCCTTCCATCTTCTGCTAGTCACTATCTCCTAAGGGTCATCACTGACTTGATTTCTAAAACTATAGATTTGCCTGTTTTCTAATCTTATAAAAGCTGAATCATAGCGCATGAATTCTTGTGTCTGGCTTTTTGTGTTCAGCACTTAAATGCTTGAAATGCATCTATACTGTTGCATGTAGTTATATCTTGTTCATCCTCATTGCTCTATATAGATATTATTCCTCTCTCCAAGTATATATATATATACATGTTTTTCTATAAATTTATTCACACTTTTCTATAATATTTTCAAAACTATTCCATTTTTAGCTATGATAAATAATGAGTATTATTGGAATTTTCTTTAGGTGTACATATGGGTGTATTTCTCTTGAATGTATATCTAGGAGTGGAATTAATCTGTCACAGGGATCATCATAATCTTTGTTCCTACCAGCTTTTCATTCTCATCCCATCTTACTTCTTTCAACACACTTGATCCTCAAGCTAAGCTAAGCTATTTGTTGCTTCAGGTAAATATCTTGAGATATTGCCATTAATTATTTTTGCTAATTTTCTTCTTCCCTTCCCCCAATTTTTTGGTCCAAATTTAATCATATTTCGAGGCCAAACTCATATAGTATATGCCCCTTTCCCCATCCTTCAGGTGCGAGTAATTATTATCTTAAAATTTTCAGAACATGTTATCAGTTCTTCCCTCTAGACATTCATATTGTTCTCTCATATAGTATAATCTGGTGAACACAACTACCTTATCTCAGTTACTAGAGATAATGTTGTTGAAAACAATGTCATCTTTTAGAATAATAATTATGACTGTACGCATAATTTTAATTTGTACTTTTTGGATGTATTTTTTGTCTCCTTCCCTTAAAATATAATTTCTCTTAAAGTAGGAACATATTGCATGATAAATCTTTGTTTGCGATTGTTAATAGAAATACTCAAGAGCTTAAAAAAACCCCAGATTTGTGAGCTCAAAAGTTTATACCACTGATCTTTCATTTTTTTTGTCACCCACATTTACACAAATGTCAAGCTTTTACCTCTGCACAGATCTCAGATTCATTTCTCTTATATATTTTTTCTAGTATTTTTCAAACTCAGTTTCTTATTACCCCTCCAAGATTGTATTAATAGCACAGATGATCATTTTTCA